ATGTATCTGCATACATTGATGTTTCTCTCCCTCTCTTTCCCCCTCCCTTCCCCTTGCTCCAAAAGTAAATAAAATCTTTAAAAAAAAAAACCATTAAAAGAATGTAGGCCAAAGTGACTTTTTGGCACATTAGCCTGGCAAGGTTTCTGAGGACCCTTAAGAACCATGTCCTCTATTGTATCACTACTCCTAGAAATGTAGGACAATGAAAGACTGATAGCAGAGCCAGAATCAAGTATCACTCATCTCTGCACCCTTAGCTGTACCTAGCACAGTGCCAAGGACCTAGTAGTATCCAAAAGTAACTGATGAGTAACAGAAGAAAAACAAAAGATACATCAATTAAAAAAAAAAATAGCAAAATCCTAACTTGAAAAAGTACTGATTATGTGATAAACTATACAGTGCAAATTACATATGTCTCTCAGGAAAAAATACCAGTATGGATGATTATTTAGGCAATACAGTATCATTCTCATTCTCATTATTATTACAACTCTGCAATCACTCAGATCCTTCTCATTTCAAAACTACTTCACATCCACTTTCCAAAACACTGTGGTTTAGGCTAGAGCAAAGCTACTCAAAGTGTAGTCCACAGACTTGTGCCAGAATTGCTTGTAATGTTCTGTGATAAGTGAAGTATGAAAAATCAAAGTAAGTATTTAAGAAACTTCACAGCAAAACTGTAACTATATGAGTGATGGATGTGTTAACTAGCCTTATTGTGGTGATCATTTCACAGTATACGTATACATCAAATCATTACATTATACAACCTAATCTTACACAATGTTATATGTCATTTATATATCAATAAAAGGGGGAAAACCCCTTTATATAGCAATCTGACAGAGTAATTTTATGTCTATTGAATGTAACAACAAAATATAAACACTCCTTTACATCTTTTTTTTCTTATTTTTCTAGTGATCCATGTTTACTGTATTTTACAAAAATACCAGGAAGGACTAGAATTTTTAAAAAGGGGCTCAACATAGATAACTTGGAGCAACTCAACTGCTGAAGAAGAAATCCTCAAAGACTTTTTCAAACTTTCACTACTTTCAGTTACTATTCTCATAAATGTAAAAAAAATGTAGCAAGAGGTTTAATGTGCAGAAAGAAAATAATACCACTTAAAATACTCTTACTTACACTTTAAGGTTAAATATAACAGACTCTCAGCTTTGTATTTTAATCAGAAATACTATACGAATTTTTTTAATGATTATTTACACCCTAGATGGTATGTCTTGGTGGACTGATCGCTGGCCTATGAACTGAAGGGTTGACTGTTGTTGGATGGTGGGTTCAATTCCCAGCTGGGGCACATGCCTGGGTTGTAGGCTGGGTTCCCAGTTGGGGGCAACTGATATGTCTTGTACACTGATGTTTCTCTCCCTCTCTCCCTCCCTTCCCCTTTCTCTAAAGGTAAACAAATAAAAGATTTTGAAAAAATTATTAATTATTGTAACATATTTCCTGTAAGGTTCTCAACCCTGACTGATTCTCAGTAAATTGCAAGTTATACCTGAAACCCTTAAGTATTATTTATACATAAATGGGGAAACATTTAACAGATATGTGGAAGGTGAAAGACTTTCCAGTTGCAGAACTTGCAGCTCTTCACTCTCAATGTCAATTCTTTCCATAATGTAACAGAACATGTTAAAATTCATTGAAGATGTGTTCATTAAAACCAGCAATGGAATAAACAGAACACTTTAGAACTGCTATTTGTGTATCTGTGATCATCACTACGAAGTCTATTTTCTTAAACTCAAAATAAGCAAGACATTTAAAAAAATTTTAATTTAACTTTAATAGTATTTCACAGATTTACTGGCAACGAAATTACTTCAGCTTTAACTTGAATTTTATATAACCAATTAAATGCTCAATTTGCTGACAAGATAAAGCAAAGTAGCAAGTGAACAAGTGGAATGTCCTGAGGCGAAGTCTAGCTCATTAAATTTATTATTTAAATCTCCAAACTTCAGCCCTGATCGGTGTGGCTTGGTTGGCTGGGCATCATCCTGCAAGGTGAAAGGTCTGGGGTTTGATTCCTAGTCAGTGCACATGTCTGGTTTGCAGGCCTCTGAGAGGCAACTGATCTATGTTTCTCTCACATCAATGTTTCTCTCTCTCTCTTTCTCTCTCCCTTCCCCCTTCTCTAAAAATAAATACATTAAAAAAATCCCCATACTATTTTAAAATAAACATTATTATTCCACTTGGATATATGCTATATTCCCAAATAATCAAAGCTGACAGAAAGTATAAAAAATGTTTTATCTACCATGATTTACCTACCTTTCCAGAGTTAGTCTATAAAAACCACACTTTAAACACCTAAAATGTACACACATTAAACATTTCTTTTTTTTTTAAGATTCTATTTTTTTTTTGAGAGAGAATTGGAAGGGAGGAAGAAACAGAGGAAGAGAAAAATCAATGGCCAAAAGATACATGGATGGGTTGCCTTTCACATGCCCTTAACTGGGGACTTGGCCTGCAACCCAGGTATGTGCCCTGACTAGGAATTGAACTGGCAACCTTTTGCTACCTTTCAGTTCACAGGTTAACACTCAGTCCACTAAGTCACACCAGCCAGGGCTTCAACATTTTTTTTGAAAAAATTTAAGCTCTCGAGACCAAAAAAAACCCCCTTTAAAATGATTAATATGAAACTAATATGAGCTTATAAATATATAAAATTTGTTCCCCTAACGGGAGGATTTTGGGCAAAAATGGTACCTTATCCACTAAACAATGTCAATGTTACAGGGGTGGAAAAGTTAAATTTATAACACTATAACAGGTCAATACATGATTTTTTAAATTAATAAATCATACTCAGTACACAAAGGAAATGTTTTCATTGGAATTTCCTGACTTATCCTGTAAACTGAATTCATCATACTCCAAGTTGAGGCATTTAACACACTGCTTGCTACAGCTGCACTTTTATTCCATCATGTCAATCAGAAATCTAAATATATCCTAGAAAAGAATAAACTCTACCCAAGACGACAGATTGTAATGTGTTATTAGGTTTGGAACGATCCTCACTGTGGTGTAAACAAATGTTTAAGCAGATCCTTTAAAAATTTTTTGCAATTTTCATTAGAAAGGCAATGTTGATAGAAGAACCTTTTTCTTTTTTATGAGTTGTAAAAGGAAATTATAGCTATCTGTGTTGGATAATCTTGTGAAGGACTGATGACAACAATCACACACAGTGTAAAAATAAAAACACTAGAGGAAAAACTGACAAATTGGCCTTCATTTTACTTGCCAGGGTATTCAGCATACCAAAAAAGTAGAAAAAAATAGTAGCTTAAAAATCAAATATAGAGTTTTCAAGGGACTTATTTTCTCCTTACGTACCAAAATGAAAATGGCAGTGTGTATTTTAAATCTACCTTCCACACATCATTAAGCACCAAAATGAATCACTTTATCCTTTTGTCAATATTGACAGTAAAATACTGGATATAGGGAATATGAGCAGATGTGTTCTCCACTTGAGAACAACAGGAAAGTCACCCTTTAAAAAGTTAAATTATAAAAATAAATCGGCAGACATCCACTTGTCTACCAAAATGATAAAGATTAATCATAAAAAAAAGATTAATCATGACTTTTTCTTCAAAAGCAATCATGAAATTGATAAAATTTTAATTGGATTATTACAAGAGACAAGTTATCACCTCAAGCAGAACAAAACTACTTTAAAAAAAAAAAAATAAGAGTACGTATAAGCACTTCCCAAAACATTATGACTAGGAAATATGTCTCCCCATCCCTAAAATCATCAGAATGTGGTCTTCAAGTCTCTATCACAGGACTAAATCCTTTTTAATTTAAGAGAGGAGAAATTGTTGAAACTTTCAGAAGTGCTGTTCAATAAAAGCTTAAGTGTGTACATCTAAATGGTAATGGCATCAGGAAAAGAACACGGAAATGTTCCATTAAAAAATCTCTTACAATCTATTAATACAAGCTTTAAAAATGCATCTCCATTGAACACGGGACACAACACAGAAGGAAAAGTAAGTAAGAAAGAGAAAGAAAAAAAGAATATTCACCCTTTTTTTTACAGAATAGAACTGGAGTGCTTTTGGTAATTAGGACCATTAAACCATTTTTATTAAACTTTTTAAAACTTACTGATTTGAGAAAGAGAGAGGAAGGGGAAAGAGATGGAGAAAGGGGGAGGGAAGGAGAGACGGAGACAGAGAGAAAAAAACAGAGAGAGTAATCAGTTATTTTTTCTCACTTACTGACACACTCATTGGTTGATTATTGTGTTGTGTGTGTACCCTGCCCTAACCAGGGATGAACCCGCAACCTTGGTGTATCCAGGAGGGTGATCTAACAACTGAACTACCCAGCCAGGGCCATTAAACCATTTTTTAAAGCAAGAAATAGTCTCTCTTTTTTCAACACCAACAAACTTCATAACGTTGAACACATTCATGTTAAGATTTTTTTACTCATATGCTCACAAAATTCAACTTTTTCTCTAAACTAGTGAAAAGATCGGTGAGGAAGGGGTGCTGTCCCACTCCTGCTAGAAGTTCCTGTCTGAATTTTAATTTTCCAAGGGAGCACTTCTGGGTTCTTTCCTCAGTTGTCATGGTCTACGTTTCACTTTAGGCAAGCGATTTCTCAGTTGTCATGTCTAGGTTCCACTTTAGCCAGGCAAAATTCTTGTTTCTTCAGCTCACCTGGCTGTAGGAAAATTAAGACTACTACTAACACTTTACCTTTGGGGACGTTAGCTGACCTAAATGCTTACAGTCCTTATTTGTACTCGCTGGATGAAAAGTACCACGAGAATACTACACAGGGATTTTCTTAAGGTATCTGCTGCCTCCACGCTTGCGTGGTTATTTCATTTCCCAGTACAGATCACGGGAGAGGAATAAGGGCTTTCACATGCACGGGTGAAGCGACCCTCATTTAAATAAAATCCCACATGTAACACTTACCTTGTATGACATGCTCTGGCGAGATGGTCTTTTTTTCCGATTTGTTGCAAATCTCATTGGCTTCAGAAGATATAAGATGAATGAATTCAGTGCAGCAGTTCACCACCAGCTCCCGGGCATCGTTGGCCACCCGGACATTAGGAAGAGTCTCTTTGATCATCTTATTGATAGCAGCTCTGGGTATCGTCAGATCATCATCGTTGCCAGACGAGGAGGCCATCGTATCTTCCTACCTCTTGCGTTCCGTCTTTTAAAAACTCCCCAGTTCTGGTCCACTACTCCACAAAGATTTTTCAAAAGGCCGCCCTCGGCGTGATCCCAGAGGCGCTATGAGTAGAGGGTGCTGAAAATGAAGGGGTAGGGGGGTTGGCACTAGAGGGCGGATAACACCCGTTTGTGAGATTTCGGGCAAGGCTGGGAGAAAAATCGTGGAACCGAGGATTCTGGGGACAGCACTGCCCAAGTCCGGAAAGGAAAGCAAGGTGGTCAGGAATTTGAGCACCGGGAAACCACCTTGGGGTATCCTCAGAGAGGAGGGCGCTGTCGCCTAACCGGTCTCCAACGGCGCCGGAACACAGGCAAGGTCCAGGGACACGGGCCTCGCTGCAGTACCGGTCGGACACACAGAGGACTTGGCTCTACAGAGCCCGAGCCCCCGCTGCCGCCGCCGTCAGCAGCCGTTGCCGCGGCTTCGGCCAAACCATCCTTCAGACACCCACGCCGCCGCCTCACAACATGGCCGCAGCCGCTGCTGAAACCCGGGCGGGCGCCTGGGAACGAATAGGGCAGAGTCAGGCACAAGGGAAACGGCACTGGAGGCCGCCGTGGTCGTTTAGCCCCAACGCAGATCGTGGAAGCCGAAACCGCGGCAACGGTAGTCCCTCAAGAGGCCAGAGAAGAAGGTTTGGGGGAAGCCTCTCCCGACACCCTTTGCGCTACCGGAACCCTCACCCCCACGGCCCCCCTCCCTTACCGACAGAGTTCCGGGCGTGACTGCCACCCTTCCCCCACCCGCGCCGGCGGGAACCGCTAGACCTCGCGGCCCTCTGCTTCTTCCTGCCGCAGCCCCGGCACGCGCCCTGCGATCGTGCGCCGGTACGGAGACCGTAGCCGGACGAGCGCGCGCCTCCCGGTACTGGAAAACCTCGGGCACGCGCTTGCTCTGGGCTGCTGCGCCAGACTGTGCGTTGGGTGGGCGGATCGCCTCAACAGCAGAGGCCTGGAGACCCTCTCTCTCCCAGCGACATTCTGGGACAAAAGAGCGCTGGATTTTGTTAAAAGAAGTTTTTTGCTGTTCCTCAAAGAGCCGTAATTGGGATTGAAGAAAAACGAGGCCTGGGTTCTGGGGAAAGCAGAAACCCGTGTGCCTGCCTGTTTCTGCACAGTCCGGAGGAAAAGCTTTTAATGGTACCTAGTAGACGTTATTGGGGTCAAAGATCTCAGTGGTCCACAGTTTCATTTTATGGGAAACAAAACAGAGAAGTGACTTGGCGCTCCAAGTCACCACTAATGGCTAAACCGGAAACTAGAAACAAGATACTAGAAACAAGTGGAAATAATGCGTTGTGTACAGTGAGCCACATTAAGAGGTTCCAACTTAGCCATTATTTATGGTGTATTGCACTTTGGTTTCTGGAGTGGGAAATAGTGTGAGAGTAAGCAGCTCTGAGCTTTGTGTCTGTCGAGTGCCTAGTAATATCAACGTATGTCAAGCTCTTCACAAAAAAATTGCATTTTAAAAAAATTAAGCTTGTCATATTGTCATTTGGAGGAAGAATCTATGAATTCTGAATGAGTGTTGCAATTTCTAAAAAGTAAGCCAGGTACCATTTAAATCAGTTTGGCACTTTAGTTAATCAGATACATTATTCCTGATACATTGGACAGCAACTGACTTGTTTGAAATGTTTAAACGATTTTTATTTAAGAAAGACCTAGATGTGGCACCTCAAGGAGACCTTGGTTAATTACACTTTTTTTTTTTCCATTAGCATTTTCTCCAGTACACTTGTGGGTTAAGTTCTAAAATGCACATGCTTGTTCTTCAATGCTGCCAAGTTTAACCAAACCAGGTTTTTTTTGGATAAAACAGTATCTTAAAATATTCTTCAAAGTAGGAATGCCCAGGTTTTCAGGTAAAATTTACAATAATTTATAAATTTGTAATTGAAGCTTAACATTAAAAAAAGCAAATATTAGTGTTTATGTTCATTTGTCATTGCTAACACACCAATTGCTAGTTGGTGGTAATACAAATTAAAAATAACTAATATTTATTTTGTACTGCTTTTATGATTAGCACTCCCACGTTCTTTTATCTAAGTACTTCAGTATTATCTTATTTAATACTCAGCAACTTTATTTGATAGTTTTAATCTTCATTTTACAGACAAGAAAAGTGAAGCTGAGAGAAGCTAAATAACTTTCCTAAAATCAGTGTAGCAGTCAGTAGTCTAGAGTTTGTTGTAAGAAGGAACAACCCCCAAATCTCAAAAGGTTTATTTCCTGCTCATTTTATGGATTCATCTTAGTCTGCAAGAGGTTTTTTTCACACAGTAATCACTAAAGAATCCACTGGAACTGTTGGGAAGAAGTAATGAAGATACCTTGAAATTTAGGCTTTTGACAGCAGGAAAGAAAGAAAATGTGTTCAAAGTAATAATATTGTAGAGACAGAAATTGTTCTGGGAACAGTGAGGAGATCACCTTAATTGAAGTAAAGCATTTGTGTTTACAGTAGTAAGAGATAAGTAAGAAAGCCAAATACATGAGGCAGCAGAAGTCATGAAGTAATAGAAGCCAAGAAATAGAGAGGGGGCAAGACAGAGAAGTCAGCTGTAACAAGAGCAATAGAAGAAAGGTAAGAAGCTTTCTTTAGGCCTCAAAAAATCATGTCAGAGCTCAGCAAAACTGGATCATTAGAGTGTTGGTGTATTCTGGGGTTTTCGTTTTGTTTTGTGTTTTTAAAAAATGTTATTTATTTTTAGAGAGAGGGGAAAAGAGGGAGAAAAACATTGGCATCAAAGCCCTAGAGAAACATAGATCCATTACCTCTCTCTCATGCCCCCAGGTGGGGACCTGGCCTACAGTACAGGCATGTGCCATGACTGGGAATTGAACCAGTAACACTCAGATCCACAGGCCAGTGCTCAATCCACTGAGCCACACAAATCAGGGCTGCATTTTGCTCTTGAAATGGACAATAGACCTCCTGAAACATTTTCCTATGCTTATTTACTTTCTGTGTATCTTCATAATACTCTTCTAAAATTCCCCCTTTTGCGGGGGCAGGGTTTACACAACTTGAAAGAGCCCAACTCATTCAAAGGCTTTGGCTTCAGATTTGGGTTTGTTGCCCAACCTGCCACTTACTTAACTTGGGCAAGGTATTTAAGCTGTAGCTTGATTTTTCCTCTATAAACTAAGGATGAGAATACTACTTTACAGGGTATTTTAAAGCTCAAATTACATAAAATATACAAAGTAGCCCAGAATTTACATGCTAAATAAATAGTGATAGTTGTAAAAAAAATTATTGCACTGATGAATATTGCTCCTAGGAATGGAATAAAGGGATTGAAAAGAAAGATGATTTCAAAAACTTTCAAAGAAAGAATTGAAGCAAACTGATAGCTTGGATCCAAGATAGTCAAGGAAACAGACTAGACAGGTACAATCATCAGATTTTTATCCTTAGAAACGGATTAGGGATTAGGGTGGTGCCATAAAGAGCAAAACTGAAAGGGAGCAGTTTAGAGGCAAGGTGCTTGCTCTTGCATGTTTGGGTTTGAGGCAACAGTAGGCATTTCAGAGAGTGACATAGGCGGTAGAGAACATAGCACCTGATTCCTACATTCATTCATCACCTGAGTGTCTACTGTCCTAAGTATGGTATGGGAGAAATAAAGATAACTATAACATTATTCTAGTTTTCAAGGATCCTACAACCTGTTGGGAGAATCACAATATAAACCAGAAGAAATAAAATACTGCGATAAACATATAATCTAAGAATATGAAGAGGAAGGATTGATTAACACCCCACTTGTGAGATACAGAAGGCTTTAGGGAGGACTCAACATTTTCACTGAGCCTTAAAGAGTGAGTAGAATTTTGACAGAGAAGGAAAGGATATGCAGCTGAAAAAGAAGAAATGCAAAAGTATGTTGTATGATATGGAAAAATCAAGTAGCCTAGAGTGGCTCTGCCTGTAGGGTCTGTAAAGAAGTATAGTGGGATGAGGTGCAGGAAAAGTAAATTAGGCTCAAAACAATAAGTCAGTACCTATTACAAATTACATGCCTTGCCAATAGTTTTCATTTTCACTTTATCATTTAATAACCACACAAAATGGGTGTTTTGACAAGTAGGAAACCCTTTTTAGAGAGGCTTACTAATTTGTTCAAAGTCTCACAAATAATAGTATTGAAGCTAGAATTTGAAACTAGATTGTTGTTTAACTCTGAAGTTTAGACTATTTTCAATGGTAACTACCTCTAAATTTTTTAAAAATGTTATTTTTATTTTAACACCTTAAAAATATAAAGCACTTTCACATGTATTTGGTCTTTATTACTAGTCATTAATCTCTTTTTGTAGATGGGAAAATCAAAATGCAGCAAGGCTATCCAAGGTCACAGAGTGAGTAAACGATAGATTGGGAATGCAACCCAAGTTTTCTGAATCCAAAGCTTCAGATCTCTCCAGCATCGTTTAGAGGAGTCTGGAGTTTCTTCTGTAGGCAATAGAAAGAGCCAGTGAACATTTTGGAGAAGGAAGATGACATACATGTTTAAAAAGATTAGTCTGGGATAGCGTGTGGGATGGACCAGAATGGAGAAGACAAGGACACCAGTTATTAGGCTCTTGCAAAAGCAATAAGTTGACAATGAGGAAGACCTGAACAAAGAGAGCTCAGTGATTATGAGATAGAGGGAACAAATCAGAGGCATTTGGAAAAAGAATTTACTTATATTGGATTTAGCTCCTAATTTCATGTGCAGTGAGGTAGGAGAAATAAATACTGCTGGGGGTAATGAGTGTGGTTTGTTCATCCCTCCCTGCCTCCCCAGGGCCAACACAGTTCCAGGCACATTTTAGGCACTTAATGAATATTTATTAACTCTGGAAGTGGATGAGGTTCTTTATGGATGAAAGAGTAAAAAAGAAGTCCAAAGACAAAAAGCAAAAAGAAGAAAATACATCAAGGGGTATTTGATAGGAACCAAGAAAGCAAAAGTGGAAAGGGAACTGTGAGGGGAGAGCTACAAGACTGATATACCAGAGAGGCACTGTTGGAAGAGGATCAGACACACTGTTCCTGAAGTAAAAGATCAACAGTAGAGAGCAGATGTCAACATACAAACAGTTAAGAGAGCAATCGGGGAAGAACTGGAGCCAAGGAACACAGAATATACTTTCAAAAAGTTTGATGGTAAAAGGAAAGTGAGCAGTGGGATGACTGAAGAAGAAATGGGGTCAAGGAAGAATTGCACAGGCTAGAAGACACATGTAGTTCAAGTGAAAAAAGCCAGAGTGTGGTAGATGGAAAAAAAAAAGCAAAATATGGGTTTGAGGAAATGAAGGTGGATGAGATTGAAAAAACAGATGGGGTCATCAGGATTAGATACACAGATCTGGGCATGCTCTGTGGAGAGGAGAGGTTGAACACAAGATTATAGGCGAGTGATTATACACAGTGATTGGGAAAGGGGATGAGCAGAAGAGTAAGGGAATCTTTAGAGAATGACCACTGGCAAGGACAAAGGAGTGATCAGAAAAAGCACGAGTTGTACAAATTCACTTGTTATATAAACATACACTGACAGACTGAGAAAAGTAGCCAAAAGTGTCACGTGTAGCCATGGAGGGAACAGATCGTGTTCTCCAGTGACATGAGTACAAGCAGTTC